TATGTAGTAGATGTAGTTGTAGTATATTATGCTATAGTAAGTTAAGTATGAGGTCTATGATGGTAATATTTATAGTACTCTATGGGTAATATAACTGATAACTGTTATCATCACTGTTATCATTGTTATTTTTGTTATGAAAATCGATCGATATCTAATGTCTAAACATTGGTAAATTAAAATGTACTGTGTACACGTTTAGGCGTTTACATTTATTCATCATAAAATAATTGGTAAAGTACGATAAATCTAGAATTTCAGACATTCAAGTGCAATTTATTTTCGACATAAAATTATTTTTGACTCTATAAATAGCACTCTTAAAAACATCGATAAAATTTGAATTTATTTTTTTACCCCGCAAATATATTCGCAACACACATAACCTCACTTCACAGTTCGCTTGAGATTAAAGATTAAGTATTTACCTAAGTTACTTTGGAATTGAATTGTACATTTTATTAATCTTAATTCATAACATAACGAAACTTAGAATTCTTTAATTGGTTAAAAATGGAAGGTTCCGATGCTCCATTGTCTAAGAAGTATGTATGAACTTAACTATGTAGTAACTAATTTTATTTAAGAGCTTTTCCATAGCATGGAATAAGATGTGTGACGTAGACATGTATTGTACCAAAATATTAATTTATCACTTACCTATTATATTATCCCTTATAAAATTGTATTAATTGAATAGGATTAGGCAGAGATGAAATCACTGTTGAATAAATTAAGATTAAAAATATATTATTTGGCAAAATGAGTGTATTTATGAGTCAATGGGCAAAAAAATCTATGTACCAAACAAGATTTATATATACATCTTGTCGGGCTCAGAGGTATAGTAACATTTCATTCTGCAACTGGTATCGGAGTGAATGATACAATCTATTTTGATATTTTCAATAAATGTCGAACCAGTATTATCTACATTTCATAGTTATTGACATTTAATTATAATGTTACTGGAATAATTCTTATCATTATACATGGGTTCTTAATGTCTCACCAGTTCAGCCTTAAAGAATTTAGTAGATTCGTTTCTTATTTTAAACTGAAATAGGTATTATTACTTTTAGTTTGTCAGAAACACATTTAAGCAATAGTACGATATGATATAGGTTCTCAAATCATCAATGTTCAATTTTGTATGAAGTATTATTGTTAGACATTAAAATTAATCATAATTAAATCAAAGTAGTGTGTTAATATTATTGAATATAATTTAGGTACCGTTTCTCATATTAATTATTATCAATCGATTGATAAATAAATTTAGTTTAATAAAAATGTGTTATTTAATTTAATTTTGAAAAACAATGTTCACGTTCACTCTGTATCCAGCTAAATAATCTATTAGTATCTAATCTATGTACATTGTAAATTATATTTGTTTAGTGAGCTTAAACGGCGGCTAAAAGCTGAACAAAAAGCTAAAGAGAAATCAGAAAAAGAAGCGGCTGTTCAGAAAAAATTGCCAGCAGTGAAGAAAGAAAGTGATTTGTCTGCTGCTACTAAATCTGCTGACATTAGTCCTAATGTAAAATAATTGCAAGATTACTACCTAAAGAGTTTCATTAATAATAAACTAAATTATAGGAATTCTTCAGTTTACGTCTACAAACCATTGCTCAAATGAAAAAAGATGGCGAGGAACCATATCCACACAAATTCAATGTCACTATATCATTAGAGGAGTTCATTGAAAAGTTCAGTTCTTTGGCTGAAACTCAAATTTTACATGATGAAAAATACAGTGTCGCGGGTATGTTTTATACAACAATAACATTTTTTTCATATGTATTCCAAAGTACAAAAATAAACTATATTAGTGCTGGCATTTCAGAAATTTGCTCTAACTAAAACCATTATTATTCAAACAATATTTTATACATTTTAATAATTAATAATCGTTTTTTCTGAAGTACAAATGAAAACAAGTAGTAGGTACATGGATGCAATAGGTTTAATTTAAATTCTGTAAACCATACAATAGTTACATTTATTTGGTACTACATATTTCACTTAAATATAATGTTTAAAATCTTAAAATTGTTTTTACTTCATTGATTAACTCTACTTGTCTTGCCCAGAGAAAAGTCTATAAAATATTATAATTATATATTATTTATATCTAATTTTTGTATAAAAGCTGTGTAAAAAAAAAAAATGGAAGAAATAAATTGTTATTGAATTACTACTCTAGTTGGATGAAAGTTCGTGTAGTCTACTAATATGATAAAAAAATATGAACTTATTAATTATTTATGTTTCAGGCCGAGTTCATGCTATTCGCGAATCAGGTCCTAAACTAATTTTTTATGATCTACGTGGTGAAGGTGTTAAAATTCAAGTGATGGCAAATGCTAAACAGTATACTACTGAAGAAAGTTTCTTCTCAGACACATCAAAAATTCGACGTGGTGATATAATTGGTGTTACAGGTAGTCCAGGCAAAACAAAGAAAGGAGAATTGTCAATCTTTCCTAAAAACATAAAATTGCTTACTCCGTGTTTACACATGTTACCTCATATGCACTATGGTCTAAAAGATAAGGAAACTAGATATAGACAACGATATTTAGACTTGATCATCAACGAACATGTGCGTAACAAATTCATTGTAAGGTCAAAAGTGATTTCCTATGTTCGCCGGTTCTTAGATAATTTAGGATTCCTCGAAATTGAAACTCCAATGATGAATATGATTGCTGGCGGAGCAACTGCAAAACCATTTATTACCCATCATAATGATTTGAATATGGATTTGTTTATGAGAGTGGCTCCAGAACTTTATCATAAAGTAATTATAATTATACATTTAATTTATATTATACCTATTAATTTAATTTATAAAATAGATGCTTGTTGTTGGTGGTATTGACCGTGTTTATGAGATTGGCAGACAATTTCGTAATGAAGCGATAGACTTGACCCACAATCCTGAATTCACTACATGTGAATTTTATATGGCATATGCAGATTACAATGATCTTATGCAAATTACAGAAGATCTGTTATCTGGTACTATTTGATATAGATTAAATGTAATTAAGTATAAAATTATAATATCATTGTAATTGTAGGTCTTGTAAAAAGTATTTTTGGCACTTATAAAATAAAGTATCATCCTGATGGTGTGGAAGCGAACACTGAAGCAGTAGAAATAGACTTTACTCCACCATTTAAAAGGATGTATATGTTCCCAGCCTTGGAAGAAATTCTTTCAGTTAAGCTTCCTAATCCCACCGAATTAGCTACAGTTGAAGCAAATAAGTTACTTGACAATCTTTGCTTAAAACATGAAGTTGAATGCCCACCACCTAGAACTTCAGCCAGATTATTAGATAAAGTATTCATTATAATTTATTACGCATTTTATTAACATGAATAATATTACATTATGTTGGATAAACCTAATGTTCAATGTTTTCTAGCTTGTGGGCGAATTTCTTGAAGAAAAATGTATAAATCCAACATTTATTTGTGACCATCCACAAGTAATGTCACCTTTAGCTAAATGGCACCGTTCTATACCTGGTTTGACAGAACGATTTGAGTTGTTTGTTATGAAAAAAGAAGTATGCAATGCTTATACAGAATTGAATGATCCTATGATTCAGAGAGAGCGATTTGAGCAACAAGCAAAGGTTAGTGATGTGATCACGTTGAATGAACAATTGTTCATGATTGGTTTTTTAATTTCCATACAGATCTATTGTTAATAAAATAAAAGCTCTAACTTCAGATTTATTATTTTATCATTTATAAATTGTAGTTATAATATTTGTTTATCTTGTAGGATAAAGCAGCTGGTGACGATGAAGCTCAATTGATAGATGAAAATTTCTGTACGTCATTAGAATATGGTTTACCTCCTACAGCTGGTTGGGGTCTTGGTATTGATCGTTTAACCATGTTCTTAACAGATTCTAATAATATTAAAGTAAGTGGAATGTTTGTGTTCAATTAATATTCTCAACTTGAGAAATTATTTACAACAATGAACTCAGTGTTGGTCATGCTATTATCTAAAGCTGAACAACTGCACAATTTTTTTTCTCATAAATTATTATCTGAGTAGTTAACACTGTGTTTAACTTAAAAAAAATATTTAAGTGTAATGTTTCAAATTTATTAATAGAAAATAAAATGAGGTTGAATTATCATGATACTATTAAATTTGCCGTCATTTTTATCAGCAACTTGATGTTAGTATATTTTTATTCACAATATAAAAATATTTTTTTCCATATAAAACTAGTTTTTTAGTTGAACACTTAATTAATTGGGTTTTTACAACCTATTTTATTTTTATCATATTATTACCTATATGAAGTATAAGAAAGATATCCAATTAGAAGTTTTAACATTTTATGAACTATTGATTTTGTTAATAAACAATTAAAAATAAATGAAATAGCGTCTTTTATACTCAACATTTACATCAAGGTCTAAAAGATGTACATGTATATACCAATGTTTCCCAACTGGTGGTCCATGGGCCAGTCATAGATGGTCCGCGGTACCATACATTTTTTTTTTTGTTAATAAGCAAAAATAAAGGTTTTCCTAGTTTTTGTATGATTGAGGTGGTCCGCGACCTATAAAAATTGTTGAAGTGGTGGTCCGTGGTGGTAAAAAGGTTGGGAAACACTGATATATACATTAGCTTGACTTCATTTAAAATTATTAAAATATTTATAATTTTTTGATTATTAATCATGCATTTTTAAAAATTTTAGGAAGTATTGTTTTTCCCAGCAATGAAACCAGATGATCCAAATAAAAATAAAGAAGAAAAAAATGAAGATGAAAAATCTACAGTATAAGAACTATGTAATGTAACTATAAGTTATAATAATTTCAATATACGGCTAATTTATCAAATAGTATCACATGTATGTTATTTATTATGAATTTAAATTAAATGGCATCAAACAATTAACCTACAATTTACAAATCATAAAAATAATTTGAATATAGTTGGTAGCACAAATAAATAAATTGTTCAGTTAGTCAAATAAAGTATACAATTAGTGCAGTAGTTTGATCCCCCAAGGTAATTATTGAATATTAAAATTCTGTCGTACAGAATTTTGACATAACAGGATCCTCACCTTCCTAAAATGTTTTGAAGTAAACAAAAAACAAATTAAATGATGCCGCTTTATCCTATATTCAGGGTGTCCATGATTAATGGAAATACTTCATTCAGATGCAAATAGATCCATAAGTATTTTGATATGTATATAACTAAGTATGGTAATAATAACCTAAAAATTAAATAAGTGGGTACAAGGTTGGAACTAATATGCTAGTTTTCAGCAGTTGTGCTTTTTTTCTTTATTTAATATGTTTGAATTTTATGGTAACATCACTGTTTGAATATTTTCAATAAGCTGGTTTGGATAATTGTTTCTGTCTTAGTTAATAAAATTGTTTGTTTAGTTTTATACAATAAAATAAAGAGGTAGATTTCTTTTATAATAACAGTGTTCTGCACAGAATTGATGCTTTGACTACACAGCTAAAATGTTGGATACACATTTTAAATAGTGTGCCCTTGGCAGTTAGCCCGGTAGTTGTACCCACAGGCTATCTGACTATGGCCTATGGCTATAAGTCGTTGCTATGGAAATGTGTGTACAAACAAATTATTAGTCATCAATACCTATTACCATATGTAACCGCATTCGAGAAAATATTTTTGGTTACTTGTTGGTGATTAAGGAATATATAATTTCAGAATAGTTGTAAACAATGGTGTTGCTTGTGTTTTATAATTTCTGTTAGTGGTTTTAGTTGTAAACAATAATACTTTCTGTATACTGAATATAAGATAAGCTATTATATATTTAAGTAATTTGCTTACTTTCTTTGAATAAAAAATGCGTTTCAAATCAACATTATTAAAAGATTCTGTGGATCAATCTGTTGTTTGTATTGGTTGGACTGGAAACGATGAAATCATAATTGGAAGGTTTGAGAAAGATTAAGTTCTTACATATTATAAAATGTAAAATATAGTATAAAATTATGTTAGAATTAGTATGTTCGTAGAATATTAGTCCAGTAATAATAACATTATTTTGTTGCAAAATTGAAAGTTTTATCAGTAGCCACTTACTTAACTTCTTAAATCTTACCATAGTCATAAGTATCTTATTTATTCAACGGTACATAAATCCTTCTTATATTGATTTAAAACCCACATCAACAAACATATTTTTATGATAGACATGTTTCTGTGGTAAAATGTTAAAAGGTTGGGTCATATTAGTCTCTTACCACGTTTTCTACAGAAAAAACCAATTGTTATCGTTTGTATCAAAATAATTTGTAAAAATAATTCAAATACAACAAATACTTCATCTAATATTACATATACCTTGTTAATCCTTAGCATAAACATTTTAATAACTCAGAAGCTATTCATTAGAATAGATACATTAACATTATCGAGAAAATCATTCCCTAATTATTTTGCAGTAAAAAAGTTTGAGTAATGAGAAGGAAGTTTGTATTGCTACAGGACACTCCTTAAGTAGTATTATTAAAAATTCTAAAAATTAGAATTAGAATAAACTTACATACTATTAAAGGGGGGCATTATATAACTTTGTAGACATAATATATATTATACATAGTCATTAGTCATATTATATAATAATATTAGTATTGTCACTTGTAATATTGTACTTTTGTATATCACATAATAATTAAATATTACATATTATTATATACCTACTCTTTAGGTGCTTATATTGTAATGTTTCTTTACTTTTATAATTTTAATACTTTTGATTATACAACTTAGAAGCGACTCAACGTTATCAAAATGGAGCCAAGCCACAAAAGAAAATATAAAGTTGTGCGATTTTTCTGACGAATCGTCGTATCCTATAGATTTGCATATGCTATCTAGTACTCAGAGACTCACAAACAAGACAGCAGGGATTGAGCAAATTCTTATAACTTCATCAAATGGTATGCTGATAATAAAATGGAAAGTTTTGTATAGGATTATTAGGATTTCAATCAATAATATGATATTTTAAAATTTTTTTTTATAATAGGCAAGTTGCATTTAATGAGCAAAATCACTAAAATCGATAAAACTGTAGATGCGCATGAAGGTAATGCAACGGTCGGTAAATGGAGCCCTGATGGTTCTACTTTATTAACAGGCTAGTATAATACTTAAAAGTAAATATTAAAAGGTACTGGTACCTAAGACTACCTACAATCTACATCACGAATTAAAGTAGTCACCACTCACCAGTCTATCTCTATGTATTAGATGAGTAACCCACCTGCTGGTATAGTTTCTCCCTTAGATCATATACTAGTATATGATCTAAGGTTTCCCCTATCGATCATCAATCACAATTTATAAACATTAACCAGTACCTAAATGTAAGGTATGTAGCTAAAGTTGTATACTATTATAAGTGCCCCTAAGCATGTAAAAATTATTACGAAGGGTAGAACCAAATTGTGCATGAATTACCTTAATGGAAGCATTGAGAACACGATTGCGTACCTGTATTGGTCGAAAAACAAAAAATCCATCTTAAGTAAGAAACGATTGCTTAGGTACCAAATTAACCCCAACGCCTTCAAATTTATAATTATACCTAACATTTTTAAAATAAAATGTACCACCCACTATCAATTAATATTCAAATAAAATGTTTTTTGTTACCTACCTTATACAATTAATGTAACCACGTTGTTATAAATAAAAATTAATTGATAACACTTATTATAATTTGTCTCAAACGCCTACTATTTATACTGTAAATAATTAAACATTGTGGCTTAATACTGCCTAGTAATACACTAGTAAATGTAACTGCAAGCATATAGAGAGAGATATCTTCTCTAAAATTGTATCTCATGCTCATCCTTTGACTATCTATCTATAATAGTTAAAAATATTCAAAAAAGTATTTACTCTATATATACTTATATATTTAAACGTATAAGTTCGGGATGTCTGAAGTGGTGTCATTGGACCCCCTTCCAAATTCCAAGTCAACATGTAAAAGTACATATTATTATCTAACTAAATCACTTTTATTCATGTAGTTACCTACGCAAGTAGCTATATATTATTTAGTAAGCTATCAATATTATACTATTTAAAGACAAAAGAGTATCGACGTACCTATTCTGTATAATATTTTATTAATATGGATAAATACCTACATTTTACACTCGTCATAAAGGATTTAAAATGAGCATTTTCCTTAGAATATAGGTATATAGGACATAGCCACGTAGACATAAGTAGGTACTATAAATTATAATATAGGAATATAACCTAAGTACCTATAAGTCTATTGAAGAAAAATATGAAAAACGTATCAAAATATTTTATTTCATGGGTATTTTAATTAAAGTTTGAATACCTACGTTTTAAATCACATCGAGTCATTGTGCTATGCGAGGAACCTCTTGAAATTAACAAATTTTTTATTATATCAACTTGTATTCTGCACATTATAATGATTGGTGCGTTCACTATATAATTGTCTGTTTTATACATTTTGAAGAAGCTATCTGGAGTGTATGGTTTTAATTTATTATTCAGTTTTATATACAATTGTAAAATTCTAAAAATTTGTCATTACCCGAAAATAAAATTATCTTACGTATTATTATGTAGGTACAGAATCATGTTAAAAAAACAACAAAGCCTTTTCAGCGGTCGACCGACTTTTGAATAGGTTCTAAAAAGACATGTGGCAGATTGAATTGAGTAAATTATTTATATATTATAATATATTATAAATAATTGTTTAGACCTGTTTTGAAATAACAGTTATCAAAAAATATTTTTAAGAATTTATACGAATTTTTTTTCTGAAAATATTACATAAGACGTCATATTGACTGTTAATTAATTTAGGTAGGTACTTGATTTTAAAAATATGGTTCAAATATTGTATAGGTAGGTATATAAATATATTAAATACTCCAACATCAAGCCATCAAGGGCGTAGTTAGAAAATTCATCAGGGAAAGGGAGGCAACCAAGTGTATTTTTAAATGTTTATCCAAATTGAATTACATATAATTGTCGATTGTTATAATTTACAGCTGGCGAAGACGGATCTATAAAAATATGGTCTCGCATAGGAATGTTGAGAACAAAATTGGTCGTAAATGCTGAGCCAATATTGTCGGCTGACTGGAATTCTGATTCATCTAAAATTGTGTATACTCAACACGATACGCTTTGTATTAAATCATTAAAAGCGAACATAAAAACAATTAGAGTACGTTTATAAATCTCTTTAAATCTACAGGCAAAATTTGGATTTGATTATTGGTGGCCTGAGGTGAAGGGGGTTTTATAGTGATTTTTCACTTTAATCACATGTAAAATTTATAAAAACAAAATAATGTCTCTGGTAGACTTATTATATTGTACTTCACACATTTTTGCTTCTGAATTTGATTTTCCGGTTTTGGAAGGGTAAATCATGGATACAACTTAAAGTTAAAATTGGTGGTAACCTAAAGATAAAAATATCGGCAGTTGGAAGAGCCAGTTAATTCACATATATTGGGTATCCTCATTCCTCACACACCTTTAAATTGGCTTACGTGACAATGTCTATTAGTTACAACACCCATTTATCCAACTTCTTAATTATGTATTTAGATTAGAGCCCATAGTGATCTTATACTCAAAGTTTCGTGGTGTAGAGCCAATGAATTGATTGTATCGGGAGGCGAAGATTGTTACTATAAGGTATTTATATTTAATATGTAATTCATAGAATATATAATTTTAAGTTTTAATTTTAAAATACATAAAAGGTATACTCAAAAATATAATTCTGTTATACCTATTGTATATTAATAGGTACTTAATTATAGTACCATATTATAGCAGACAATTTTTTCAGCGGGGCACTTAAATTTTTTTCTGCAATTTTTATTGAGCTATACAATACTTATCATCTAGGTATTTTCTTATGACGCCATCGTTTATAAAAAAAGTTTCAGTTGGGGGGACACTTCCCACCAGTGCCAACCCACTGGCCTAATTTATTAAGTATCATATCAAATTTTCAACTATAAAAATATGGTAAAAACAACAATTAATTTAGTTATTTTTAACAATGTTAAAATCATTAACTATGATTTTTATAATAAGGATAACTATTCATTTAGTTGGATTAACAGCATTATATAACTTAATACAATAGTTAAATCAGCTAAAGTTTATAGTTAATAAATAGTAGTCAATTTTATAGTTAAAATAACAATAATTATCTTACTAAAAAAAAAAAAGTTATTTTAACTATATTTATAGCTGTCACATATATAACTATAAATTATGATTAAACTAAACATAAAATTAGTTAAAGTAACAATTTTTTTTCCGTGATAGTTTATAGCAATTTGTTTTCGTTGCTCAAATGTCAAGACATTCAACATGAATTTCGATTCATAATGTTTTATCATTTTAATAATTTATATAAAAACTTAAACTTATTGTGTGTAAAAATCCCATTTCTATTTGTTTTCATTGTATTTATATTATAAATAAATATTTTTTTATTTGCTTATTCGAACATGGCATTCCTGAACTCATTGGCAACCTATACAGTATATTATCAATTATAATATGTATTATTTTATAGATTTGGGATTCATATGGAAATTCTGTATTTGTGAGTGAAAAACTCTCTCATCCAGTAACTTCTCATTGTTGGAAGTCTGATGGAAATTTACTAGTTGTTAGTTTTTACAATACAATTCTACTTTGTAATCAATACGGGGTAAGTATTATTTCAAAAAAAAAATATTATTCTTGTAATTATTTAATATTGAGTATAGGTAGTTAGGTATATCATAGGCATAAAACAAAACAATCAATATCTGTATTAGAAAGATTATCTGTAGGTATACCTACGCGTGCGGATATGGCTTGAAATTGTAGACTGAGGGGTCACATCGTAAGAGAACCTGTGGCTCTGGAAAATTCATCAATATATCTAGATCCGTAAAATATAAATTATAATTAATACCTGCTTTATTAAAGTGATAATATTTCGGAATTTTTTAATAACGATTTTCAGGTCAAAAATCTCACCAATATTAAGTAGATACGTTTTTTTGTGTGTTATTGTATTTAATTAAATAATATTGTATTTGTGTAAATAATAATAATAATGAATTAGTGAAATAAAGTTTTTCTATATTTTCTAAATTTAAGACATATCATTTTGTTTTAAATGCCTACCAATTTTTCAATGAAACTATAATACTATATTTATTCTAATATTCTGTAATAGGTATATTGTCTATATTAACAACTACAACTAAAAAAAAGGTTGTTCAAACCAGTGGCTCCCTGGACATCATGGTTTTGTATTTTTTCGAAAAAATGGCTTTCTTACGAAAAGGTTCCCGACCCCTACTCCATACCCTACAAAACACAGTTATGGTAAAATTTAAATTTGTAGTGTGTGCGCTCCACTTATTGAATTTGAGTTCAATGATAAACCATTATATACAAAAAATGATTGTAAGCGAACACAGACTGTGAGCCTAAACTTCTAACTTTTTAAGGATATTTGATTAAATTGTATTTCTAGGTATTAGAGTAGTTTTTTTTTAATTAGTGTTTTTTAACGATAGATTAAACTAATTTGTTTTTCAAAAACAAATCTCATATCTTATGGAGTAATAATAATAATAATAATAATAATAATAATATAAATTAAACAAATATTATTAATTCAATACTTTCGAAAATAAACAAAAAAAATGTTCACCAATTATAGAAGTATAATAATTATATAATAATAATAATAATATAATATGATATAATATATTTTATAAATGCAATTATCAAAATGATACAGATTTCTCTTGTAATATTATATATCCAAACTTGCAAAATGGTTTATTCTAAGATTTCATCATTTCAAGCATTAAAGCAACTTTACCCAGAACCACCCCACACACCAATATATTGATAGAATAATTTTTTGTACAGGTAACTATAAACCTATAATTTAGAATAATATATTATTATACAGAGACTTGAATGCGACCTGTACCAATGAACGAATATATATTATAATGTAATATTAAATGTATAATATGTATTATATTAAATAATATACAACATTATTATTTATCAAGTTTTTAGTAGACAATTCAATACATTGAATTTTTTTAAACAAAGTTTGTTTAACATAAAATAATAATAATATATGTTTTTAAAATAACTAATAAGTTATATAATAAACGTATATTATATAAATTGAATGCGCGATAGTTAATAAAAATATTTATATATGTTTTTGTTTTAGTTATAACTTATAATAATTATAATAATGTGAGTATTTATATTATTCGACAGACAGTCCTGTCGACAGATTATGTCGACTGCGGGAGCATTTGTTCCCTTTGTTGGTCACCGGATAGTACTCAAGTAGCTGCCGTGTGCGCTAATGGAAGACTAATGATTTCTACTTTGGTCGAAAGGTTTGAATACTGTACAAAGATTGGAATTTTTATGTTCTCAGTCAATTATATCGTATCTATATGTTGCAGAAGTTTTTCGAGACGGAATTTTCATTGTTTGATCACGTCGCGGAAAACAATGGCTGTGAAGGACGTATTAAATGAAACCAAAGAAAACCTCGATTTCCCCGAACGTATTGTCCACGTAGCTATGGAGTTCAATCATTTAATAGTTACCACATGCACTCAGTGTTTTGTTTATCAAATGCCCAATCTAAACACTCCGCAAATTGTCAATTTAAAAGACACAAATGTGTTTATGATAATTTTAACTGAAAAGTAAACACAAATTACAAACAATATAATTACAATACACCTACCTAGTTATAGTACCTATACATAACTATGCGAATTAGAACAAGTCACAATTATTTTTCTATAATGATAGGTACCGGTCAATTCAACAAGTATGCTCACCTCATATTGTACATTTGTACTTATTTATTCAAATTCTGTTTTAGGAATTTTTAATTACCTATAGTTACTTTAAGACTATTATTTTAAAATGGAGTGACAAATGGGTGGTGATATAAAATAGTTTTTTCAAATAAATATAGCTTTTTTTTATTTTAATCTATTAAAATATATGATTTTTTTGAAAATTATGTTGTACATTTAAATTTTAATTCGAACGATTAGTTATCTGAGTTATTAAACTGTACTAAGTATAATAATCATGTAAGTAGGTGCCTATAAATAATATAATGATTTTGTATAAAATATAAAATAGTTGTAATATTTAGCTCAGTGTCTAGGTATTTAGGTCTTATTGCGTTTTGAAAATGTTTACAAATTATAAAATATTAATAGAATCAATGACTTACTGTCTTACTATAATTTTCGAATCATTGCTTTCGTATTCGGTGAAACTATTATCCTATTAGTACCTAAAAATTAATAACTCAAAAATGTCTCATTATAATTTCGATATACATTCATCAACTTAACCTGGCCCTGGGTGTTCATTAATACCATTATGCTTATCATGAACCATATGCTATTGCTTTGTTGTTGCTATGATTCTAAATGTTTTTACTTGTCGTTAGCTGAAATCTTGATGTGGCGTTCTATCGTCATCTACATAGGCATTTTTCTCCGTTATAAGTATAATAATTTATTAATAAATATCTTGGAATTGTAATTTGTGTCATTTGAATGCGTATGTGTTTTTTTTAAAATTCTGAATGATCAATAAATGTACACTGTACAAGTGTACAGTAAAAATGAATAAAATAATTTGTTCAAAAGTGGCAGCGAAATTTACTTATTTTTTTCAATTATGTTTTGTAGGTATTTTGCTATATTATCGATAAGTCGAGTTGACATTTACACATTTGACTGTAAATTGGTTTCGTCTCCTAAATGGCCGAATATGCAATGTGACTTAATACAAAAGAATCACGTATCTATATCTGACCACATATTGGCTGTAAGAGATCAACTGAATGACAAAAGTGATTACTAATAATATATTCTGAGACAGACATTACCTACACATTTCTTACGTCCAAATAAAATTAATTTGTTTTTATGTTTAGTGATACACGTATTCGAAATAGCTCCATTGAATACATTGCCTACAATTAAACATGGATTTTCAATTACTGATGTACAGTTGATGACCACTAAAATCCAAGATAAACGTTATTTGGCGTTTATTGATTCGAGCATGAACATATTTATCGTCCATATAGGGCATAAAGATTGTGCTAAAACATACAAACTTGGTATAAATAACTGATATGTGTACACATGTATTATATTCTTAATAGAAAAGACTAAATTATATTATATTTTTGTGGTCCACACACACATTTAGGTTCCATGTTTCATAGCATGTGCTGGAACGGTCAAACAGAATCGCTGGCTGCTTTGCAATATACAAATCTAATAGTGTGGTACGACCCTTTACTTTTACTGAACGACCAAATCCTTGTGCGGAAGTCTCTAGAAAAGAGTGACTTGAGGTATATCGTATATATTACCTATATCGTTTTTATCGTTTGCTATGATATCATTTATAATAATTGTATAAAATACTGGGACTATTAGATTATTTTAGGTTAACATAATATACTCATTATATTGAAGAAGAGTATTTAAGTTTTTAAATTATATTTTACTTAATTTTGTGTTTTTACTTTTTTTAATGAACCATACAAATATACAATTATATTTTCATACTTCAAATCAGTATTTTTTTGAGGATTTTGATCTATAAAAATCAACTTTAATCTTAAGTTGAAATTATGATTAGCGAAGTAGTGGACCAACATATTTCGGGGTATCTAGTATACTTCATTGCGCTCATTCAAAATTGAAATTATTATATAACTACTATTAACATTTAACACTATTGGTTTGAAATTCTCAGAACAATATTCTGATTTAGGTCATAAAATTCAAATGCATTTCACTCATAAAAAAAAACTTAAAAATTATAACGAGAAAAATAGAAATTAGTTTTAAATTGTTCTCAAGATAGTCGACTGTCGAAATCAAAGTAGCCTGCAGTGCCACAGTATAAAGAGCTAGAGCAAAAAATTTAGGTACATCAGGATGCTTCTCAACAGTCACCGTGTTTCTCCTCTGTGCTCTTTGTATATCTCATATTTGAATAGAAAATTAATAATATAACTTTTATTAAAATTATTTTTGTACGATTGACATTTTTATAAATATGCTTAATATAAATATAAATATATGTTTAATTTTTTGGGGGGGTTTTGTTAAACACACAGTTTTTACGGTAACAAGTTAAACATCGAGTCATACGAAGACAATATGGTGAGTCTGATCAACACAGATGGAGTCAAGGTGTTTGTCCAGGTGTCCCCTTATTTAGAAGCTATGAAGAATTACATCGGTGCGAGTAAATGGATGGAATGCCGAACCGTTTGCCGAGACGTGAAGAATGAAGCGATGTGGGCACTTCTGGCCGGTTCTGCTGTGTTGGCTAAACAGCTGGACACTGCCGAAGAGTGTTTTCTTGCCATCGGACAGATTGAGCGAGCAACATTTATCCAACACATAAAGGCATTGATAGATCTTTAAATATTGATCACTGTACATATTATACACAGTGTGTTATGATAAATTATAATACATAGTGTACACATATTATATACCTAGTGTCTTATGTCAGTTCTCGTGGGTTCCCAAAACACCAGGGGTAACTACTAAGTTTCATAGCTCCTGGAAACAAACGACAATGTTTTGTTTATTTTTATGAAAAATCTTAAAACATTAAGAAGTTTAAAACCTTTGTTTGTTAGTGCACTGTCATATTTGTATACCTATGTAATATGTATTGTATGTACCTATGCATTATACAGTATAAGATTATTTTGAATGGAATGCGCAGTTTTTATAATTTGTATTTTTTGTCTCAGACGATATCTGACAGAACAACACAGGAGTCATCACTAGCTCTGCTATCTGGAAAAATATCAGAAGCCGAATCCATTTTGCTGAGAAACGGATCCACATTTAAAGCTATCATGTTTAATGTACAAATACATAACTGGAGTAGGTGTGTAAGCCAACACATTGAATAAGCATTAAATATTAAGTATAGTAGGCGTTTATACTATAGACTTAATGTTATATCATATAGAGAATAATCGATTGGAAATTTAAAATGATATTGTATGTATATAAACGTAGTACGAAATACAAATTTGGGATGGCTTTGCATAACTCCAATTTTAAATTTCACGAGTGCCCATCTAGGGCTTGAGAGAGATTTAAACATAGTACTATTGTGTGGATTGAAAACTTTTATTTTATATAATTGGGTGATGCCTATGTGATCAACTGTTGAAGATTTTTCTTTTTGATTAAAACTGAGAGACTTAGTCTTTTATTGTGCGCAATATCGAAACATTATATTTTACTTCCGAATAGGTTGAGATTAGTATTCCTTGGACTAATGATGGAGAAATGGTGGGTCCAGGCAAATAATAATAATAATACGCACGTGAGCGTACGTATTCTAATTTTTCTGAGTTTAATTTTATTCTTTACTTGGAGTTTGAACTGTGCACACAATTAAAATGCATTTTCTTTGGTTGGAAAAATTGATGATTATTTTGGATAATTTCCGGCACAAAGTAGAATTACTGTTTAGTCTGCACGAGTGCCTATAATTAATACATCAATAACCTATTTAACCAGTGTCCAGTACTACTCATGTTATTTTAATTTTAAATACTACTTTGTATTATTAGTAATTGGAATCTTTGTTCCTGCCAGTTATATTTAATATATTTATTATTTATACAATAATTCACTAACCTAATTAATGAATACAGAATATTGAATGATAATTTTGGTTAACTGTAGATTATGTGAATGATGTATTCGCGAATGTGAACAATCATTTAATTTCTTTACTTTTTATGATTTTTTTAGAGCATTGGAATTAGCAGTAAAACATAAAAAATACCTAAACACGGTTATTTATAAACGGAGGAATTATTTAGATTTTTACAAAAAAGAAGAAACAAATGATAAGTTTTTAAAATACTCTAATGTATGGAATAGTTGATTTAAACATAATGTACCAAATACATAATATCATAATAATTTTTTACTAATTATCTTTTTTTCAGATAGAAATTGATAACGAAGAAGTCTTGAAAGAAATCGAAAACGAAAAATAAGGTTCTTTAAGTATGAGAATTTACTTATTCTATGATGTATGATGTATGCGTATGAATGTACGAATTACTTACATTATTATATCTTATTATAACCTTAAATATCTTTAAATATGGTTAATTAACATTGTCTATCTTTATTTATGTTGAATACAGAGAATTACAAGAAGTGCTACTGACTGAAATTACAGCTTATTAAAGGCTTAGTTGAGTGCTTAATTACTAATTAATAATTAGGCGTATAATATAATATACTATATAGGCAAAATATTAAAAAGAGTATGAATGATACAGCCTATAATATAATAATTAGGTATGTCATTTATTGATGGATGTATCTACAACCATCTCACCTCTACCCTGGTTTTATAACCTCAATCTCTCCAGGAAAAGTATAGTATCGTTCTCCCGTCTCCGCTTTGGCCACACCCTACTTCCTTCTCATTCCTTCAAACTTTCATTAAACGATTCTTCCCTCTGTATACTCCACAATGACTCAATTATTTGTGACATAACCCACCTTATCTTCAACTGCCTTAGTCTATCACAACAATATAACCACCTATTTTTTCTTTTCAACACCTCCAACATCCCTTAAAACACCAAAAATATCCTCTCTTGCCAGCAAAAAAATATCATTGATAATATATTATCCTTTTTTAACCACACAGACTTTTTAATTTAATTTCTCTTGTCTTTTTTGTTAATAACTTATATCTTATTATTACTATATATGTTTCGATCATACTTGTTAATACTTAACTGTTGAAATTAATTGTAAATAACAAATGAACAAAGTTTAAGAAGAAAAAAAAATTAATAGATGTACCCCCGTGTATAGACCCTCTTTTTGGTAATAAATAACTGACAGTACCCTCTGAAGTCTTCATACAATAATATATTTCGATAATTCATTAATTCCATACACAGTTAAGGCGAAAAGATTATATACAGAACCTGATTTTAAAAAATAGAGGCCTTGTAAACTATTTATATATTGCTTTGGAGGCCTTTTTAACTAAAGATACATCGGACAAATTAATTATAATTAATAAATGTTATTTATTGTGTAGCATAATGATTGATTGCCAGTCATTATGACAAAGAGTCCAGTTTTTCTTATAGTGTTAAAGAAGAGCCCACTCGAGTTTTATACTTTTAAATTTTATGAGTAGAAAATAAAAGTTCACTATTGTCTATTACAATTTGTTTATGGTATATAATTCAAAAATATTTTTTGTAAGAAATATTGAAATTAATGCTCATAAAATTGGAATTTTCTTATATAGATAAGGTAGGTAAGAACTCCAGAAAGAAAAGCTTTCAAAAATATTTATTTTCCTCGAAGGTCTGAATTAAGGTATATACTGTTAAAGTGTTACGGCCTACATGACTCCTCGGCAGTGGGAGTTGGAACCTACCTTTACAGGCTACAACTTATATGTACCTATATTATAGAGTATAGCCTATGGACCAGCGTTTCCCAAACTAACGGTCGGGAAATTTTTTTGATAGGTTCGACTCGCGATTACGGATTACGGTTATTTTAGCCTAAATTGATACCTCTATATTGTATAATAATTATAATGTGAAGTCCAATTAGTATTCAAGTATTGTAGAATGTACATCGTTTTTACGTTGGATATTAATATATTTTTAGTAATCTTAATATTATTTTATTACGATTATGGAATATTTGTTACCTATCTTATCGGTAGGTATGATAAAATTGATTAAAATAAAAATATTATATGTTTATGGCATACTTGATTTTGTTTTTTCTTTATAGAGGGGGGAGGGGTCGTATGCCCAATAAAGTTTAAATTTAGAGGTCGCTATTGCAAAAAGTTTGGGAAACACTGGTATAGACTATAGCTAATGTTCCTGTAGGCATAGTTTTTTTAAAGGTATTGGCGTATTGCTGAATTCTTGACGGTTTTTTTTTTTTATTAATTTTAAACATAAGACATTCCTAGCCAATAAAGGCTATCCATGTGTATTTAGTGATGTTTGACAATTTACATATTAGTTTATCTATAGGTATGGTTTTAATAGATTAACGTGATAATTAAAAATATTTTTAAGTATTATGGATAATTGACAATTGGTAATTTTAGATTTACAGAAGTAATGTGATTACAATAATATTCTAATATTTATATATTTACAATAATTTAATATTTTAATAACTATAAGTAACAGAGAGGTCGCAGAATGATCTGGAAGAAGCGCATGTGTAGAGTGAAGATAACTTTTGACGGTTACGCAAATTCTCTCCCGATCCCCCTACCCCACAGTTGTCAACGATTTAGTGTATATACTTACTTGTTAGTATGTCACATATTATATAAGTAGGTAGACTACTAGACTGGTTGAATTTTTTGGGTCACAATTTAAAAAAATTGACGATTGTATATTTTTTAGAAACATTGAAAAGCCACTTTACGGAGTGAATATTTACGTTAGTAACCATCATGGTTTAAAATATAAGGGTAGGCACTAGCCATATTAATACATCGTTAAAATATCTTATTCGTCACTGTTAAAAATTACACGGACTGTTAGACTTTTCGAATCTCTCTGGACCAACCCATTCCCATTCCCCAATCAGCCTCAGCAAACGAACCGGTCGATCGACTGACAAGTGGCAAGCTTTAGCTATTAGGGGTGTCCAACCCTCGGCCCGCTGTAGATTTTGATACGGCCCTCACTTCAATTTAAAATCCATGAATTAATTGTACATAATATATTAATATTACGAGAACAAATTTATTTTAAGAATGTAAATCATCAAATAAACTGTAAGGGCCGATGCACACTTCAGTGTTTTTGCCGTCACAACTTCAATCGATCCAGATATTCATTCATTCATTACTTTTATAAAAAAAAGCAGTTTCACTGATCTCATTAAATAAAACTAATGACTTTTTACATTTTTTAAATAAAACTTTTTTTTTATTATAAATAAGTATATTTTTCTGTGTACTTATAATTAAACATTAATACTTGTAAAAATATTTCTGCTTATTATTCGCTTTTGTAAAATTATAAAAAATATATATTGTTGTATTATAGAACATAATTTAATCATTAAATTTTAATGTATTATTATTAAAAAAATGTATGTGGCCCATAACAACTTCTACCTATATGATGTGGCCCAGTCTTCACAAAAGGTTGGACATCCCTGCTTTAGCTCAGTATCATAAATATCCTCTGATCTAAAAAAGTAAAGAGTGATGGGTGATAGTTTATGCTTACAACCACGAAGAACCTTATTAAAGCCCCATGCTCACAACTTCTCGATGCGCGACTCCCGCACAGAACAGTAGATGTCACTATAAAAAAAAATATATCAGTCGCGTGCTCGTGTGTTTCGTCACTATCTCATTGTTGTAACTGTATCACAAACCACTGATGACTGATAAGAGCGTGTCTATAAAACGAAAAACTATATAATGAGAACAACCACAAAATATGTACTTACCTATTTCGCCGTGAATCGTGATACGAATATACGATAGTACGATACACTGATAAACCAGCTTTTAACCGAAACCTCAAGAACTCATAACCATGAACACCAGATATTAGTTTAAAGTTTTACATTTTTAGTTTTTACAGTTTTATAGTGTTTTTTTTTCAGTTAGACGCAATTCGCAATTTGTCCATAACAGGTACCTAGATATATATTATTTTTTTTAGAATCAATGTCTGAGAGTCAAAGCTCAAAGGACACACAAGGTCCACGGTAGGGTATCTTCAGTGATTTGACAATTTTATTTATTTATAAAATAACAAAAATATGGATCTATTGTAGTGTAGCAAGAGCTAATTCAATTATTTTCAATTGCCCACACATCTAAGGCCAAGTTTTTAAATCTTAACACCGGGGGTTTATAAAATACCTTAATAATTTTCATTGAAATAACTGAGATGTTAATTAAATATTTTATTAAAACAGTAGATACCTATAGTAAGTACATTTTTAAAAAAAAAGATTACTTTGCTCGCTGTTACATTAAATTTTTTCATACATACTTAGTATTTTCCAGAAAATATTATAGCAAAAATTCTTCGTATGCAAAATACACTCATACGTGGTCGGTTATTTGCATATTATACACATCAGTTAATATTTATAAATATTTAATTAATTCACATTTATAATTTATTTAGAAATATTAAGCAACAATTGAACACATAATAATACAATATTTATCATACATACCTAATGCTAATTATTTCCGAAAATGTCAAACATTTTTTTCCAATCAAGTGTTTAAAGTCAATATCTTAACGAAATTCATTTTTGTAATTCATTCATCTTGTTTTCCATGACAAAATATAACTTGTTTTGGAGCAAACTTAGCCCATCTGTCTCTGACATATAAATTAAAAGAGAAAAATTAAATATACACAGTTTACACCCCAAAAAAATTTAAAAAATATTACGCCCCAAGGTAAAATTGGGGGTTTTCCCACTCTAGATCCAACCCTGTCCATTTATTGTTATTGTACAATGTTGCTTGCAATTTATTATCGTGACATTTTCCTTTTTTTTTTATCCTTACAATATTTTTTTTCGCTAGGAGCAACTAATTTATCCCTGTATTTGAAATTAACTATTCAGTATGTACTGACACAAAAGTACATTATGTACTCTCAGTATGTTACCCTACATTAATCCTTCTGGCCAAATGAATAATACATTTTTTATGTTTTAAACAGGTGTTATGCAGTAAAAAATGTCGAATAATAGCATTTCAATATACAAATTCAAACCATTTCAGTTCACAGTATTAAAGAAAAATCTTGATCCACAGCAACGTCCATTGGCGAGAAGTGGACATCGCGTGGTGTGCAATAATGTCTATTTGTTCTCGTACGGAGGTTTCAATCCTCAAACAAATGTTAGACTCATTTATTTTCTTTAAACAAATTACTGCCAATGCCCAATATTTATAATTATTTCTTTTAAGTTGAGCAGTGTTTGTTATCTTTTAGTCCCCCATGTTTATATTGTTACTGATCTTAGTGACACTATTTTAAGGATATAAACCATAATCAATGTGTATTTACAGGATGTTCTTGGTCACAGAGTGTCATCAGCTATGCGGGAGCTTTGGAAGTATTGTTTTGATTTAGGTGAATGGAAAATAATTAAGTGCCAGAATGTTCCTCAAGAACTAGCATCTAGTTCAGTTACACTATCTGGTAACATAATCATTATATATGGGGGTACTGGAGTTCCATTTGGAGCGTTTTGTAGCAATCGCATGTACTTGGGTAAGGCTTTAATGACACAATTTACATTAATGGTGAACATAAGATAGATTATTATTATATTTTAATGATTCCAGGAAATTTAGCCAATGAGTATAAAGAAAATGGAATGAGCTTTGAAGAGTTAGAAGTGTCTGGAGATGTTCCACTACCATTATATGGACAAGGGGTTGTAATGGATGGTAAATATATTTATTCAATTGGTGGCACATCTGGTTTCGAATACGAGATGGATGTTCATCGATTTGATTTGAGTACAAGAAAATGGGAGTTGTTACATAAATCACTTGGAGAAAGTCAAGAACCTGAACCTAGATATCGACATGAAGTGGTATTCTACAAAGGTAGAATATATATATTCGGTGGCGGACGAGGTGGTTCCAGGAATATATATTATGGTTTTTCGGTTAGTGTAAAATATTTAATTTCTATTTTTAAATGTATTAAGTGGCTTACTCACTAGGCGAATAATTGTGCTCGCCCCTATCTTCAGAAAAATGTGGCTATTAATCGCGCAGAATAAAGTTTTTTTAAACTATTTTTTTAATTTTATAAATGCATTAAATTGTATTTTTTAACATATTTGTCTTGTTTTTAGAAGCAGTTAAATCTGCTCCCTAGTTATATCAATATATCAAAGCATTAATTATGTAGTTATGTAATCAATGTAGGGCCTAACCTGATCTAACCTAAAGATTTTGATAATTTTAAACAAGTCAATAAATTGTACTGTATACTCTTATTGGTTATAAGAGTAAAACTTATGTTTTGTAATGATAGAGTGCATACAGAATGCTTGCTGCAGTTGCCAGTATATTGCAAACCTTGATACTATGCATATAACAAGATAGTCCAATTTATGTTGTAACGATGATAATAATTGATTGTTCTTGGAAAGTTCTTGAATTTTATATATAGATATTATTATTTTTACTAGAAAATCCATATGTTTGATGTGGCCACCAGAAAGTGGGAATTCCTTCCAGCCAAACACGACCACAGGGTACCAAGACCTGGATATCCGAATAATCGAAGCTGCCATAGCTGTGTTCAATGTCCTGAGAAATCTAATTTGGTGTATATATGTGGTGGTTTTGATGGTACCCGATCCTTCAAAGACGTTTGGCGTTTTGATTTTGACACCTTGCAGTGGGAAAAACTTACTAAATGTATAATGCCTCGGCCGGTGTACTTCCACTCGACTGCTGTAACACCTTCTGGTCGTATGTGTTGTTATGGTGGCATAGTTTCTCACGATGATATAGATGTTAGAGGTGGCCGTTCAAACGATATTACTAGTGCATGGATTATGATACCCAAATTGAAAGTCATATGTTGGGAAGCAATGGTTTACTATTTCAAAGATCAGATGTTTGAATCTAGTGATGAGTCTCTAAAGAAAATTGGTTTACCTCAAGAATACTATGAACGAATAATTGAAGCACGTAGAATTTGTTAAATTAAGTTAATTTAAAAAATACATTTCTTCATTAAAGTTTTCTAGAACATTAATGTTGTTAATATTAAATTAAAATATTTTTGATGATTTTATAAAATCTTATTTGGTTTTTTAATGTGGATTGTATTACATCATTATGACTTTTATTGACAAATGGTGTTATAACCATAAAATATATAATATAATGTTTTAAACATGATACAATTGTTATTATTGTTTTTTTTTTTTTATAAAAATAAAAAAAATATTAGATATAAATTGTAATTTGTATAAATTTGACCTAAACTGGCTTAACTCATCAACATTATTATTGTAATTTTATTTTTAACGTATTATAATTGTTTATAACTATTGTGATTGATGTATTCTTATACTCTAAGATATTAAGTATTATGTATTATAATAAAAATTATTTCCAACAATTTCTGAGCTTTGTAGCATTTGTGTCAAAATAAAAAATTAATAAATACTATTGTATTCTAACACAAGGCTGACTCAATTTTGAGTTACAAAATTGATTGGGGAGGGATGTCACATTAAACTTTGTAATGTAATCCTTTTCAGTTTTGAAACTCAAAATTGGTACGGCACTCGCAAGTTTGAACATTATACTCAAAAAAGGGTACTATGATACATACATTTAGTGTATCCGGGTAATAAAAAACACTGTGAAAGAAGAAAAGATACTAGATATAAAGTACAACAATTTTTCAAAATATAATTATGATTTCTTAATAAAATAAATAATAATTTACATAAAAAATATATGTACACTATAATAATACATTACTTGCATATGAATGTCGTACACAATACTTTTATAAATTAATCAGACCCGTTTGGTTTTCAAGACCAAATTTAAAATATATATTCCATTCAAAAATGATGGGATTGTTATATTTTGTTCAGTTATACATTGAAAATAATTTAACGAAATAAATTAAATAAACATGAACACTGAACAGCCTTATAGAAAAAACCTTACTGACACAGTAACACGAGTGGCTAAAATGATTTAACATTGCGAATGGTACATTGTACGGTGACACTATATTTTTTATCTGTGCTTTTGGTATTTTTTTTCTACTCAATATGGAAATACATACACGTCTTCGCTCATATCATAAAATAACAAAATTATTAGCATAGGCGTAAATCCATTAAAGATTAAAATGTCAGTTTACATTTTTAACGTGGGGAGGGGGGGCCTTATTGGATGTTTGGCCGGGTTAAGCTCTCTTAGCCACCCTGCGTTTTGCACCTATGATTAACAAGTACCTAGTGGATTCATATTTTAATAGAACAAACATTCCTGCTCATCAGTTCTTATCTGTATGAGTAGATAGTCATACAGGCCATTGAATTGGATACGTTTTTCAGACTATCTTATAAGTTTTAGCGAAGACAAACATTTTACATTTATTTTAAGTATCGAGTGTCCTGCAAATCAAAATCAAGTGTCAATGAATTGTAAATTCTAACATAATTATCCAATATAAATTTTTGCAATTAAAGTAGGTAGGTATCTTATATCTTGTGCAATTTAAGATACCCACATGATACTGGTATAAAATGTACATACCTGATATAATAAATTATGATACTTGATACATCATACATGTATATTGTGATAGTGCCCAACCGTGGGTATTCGCTTTATATGCTGCTGCCAAGTCGTGAGTACTATTAGGTACCTTTTAAATTCCTTGCATACAATGTCTGGTAATTTTGATATTTGTTTAATTTTAATTTAATTTTAATAATTCCTAGAACATATTTTACAGAATATCTCAGGAAAATGGCAAAATTTAAAATATATAGGTATTGGGCAAATTATAACATGACAACCTGTCCATTGTCCATGAAGTAGCTCTTTTTCCCCTTATAACTTTATCCAATAGACTTGAAAAATATAGAGATATTTCACAAAAATTATTGTAAATTGGTCTTTAGAATTTATTAATAAATCATTAAAATATGCTAAAAGTTATTTAAACTCCATGTAGCCACTCAACTATGTTAAATTAATTTGAGAAATGTACCAATTTTTTGGAAATTAGATTGATTAATAAATATTTTTGTTTTTGGCTTTAACATTAACATTTGTTTTTATTACTAGAAGAGGTTATTAGTTTAAAATTTTTGAATGACTTATTTTCAAATTTAATAAACCAGTTTTGCATTATTTGCAATTTACTTGCAAGATATTGCTACACTTTTGATCGATTCAGACGATTGATTAAAGAGGTGTTGACGCCAACTTCACGGACAAGGCACTTTACATAATAATTTTTACCTTGAAATAATAGTAAGCTAATACCTACATTATGCATTCCTATAAGAGAAAAAATTATTTATTTATAACAGAAACATTGTTTATAATTCAACTTGAAAGAAGACTGAAAACGTGTACAAGTTATAAACCAACCTGTACCTTTTAAGCATTCAATAACGAGTTTTTATTTTTAACCATTCTCTAGCAATCATAGAATCCAATATTTTTCATTCAAATGGTAAGTGGCATTTTTTTTTAAAACATCACATTTTCACTATTAAGGAAACTCTAAACAGCATAGTACCATTATATTTTACAAACTAAATTGAACAGACAGTGTACAGATGTCAGGTATAGTACATCATAATGCAGTCCATATTATCTGAGTTATTAATACTTAATCCTTAAAAATAAGCCATTACAAGTTTTATAGTTCAATTGATTGACTTTGAAAATAAATACCTCATATGCAATAAATTTGACAGCGACAGCAGTCATAACCATTAAGTTAGCAGATTCCAATTTGTTTTATATTACGATTTATACTTTTCCTGATAATTTATGTCATTTATTTTATAGAACACGTGTCCCAGAGATAGTACGGTATTCTATAGACTGCTAATAGTTTTATACTGCAAATAAAATGTTTGATACAAAATGATTCCTTTAATAGTGAACAACCAATATTCGTAATTAAAAAATCTTAACATTTTCAGGACATTTTTGTATAAACTAATATGCACAGTTCAAAGTGCAACATTTTCAGTTTACTTCTCTTGTGACCATATAAACTTTAAATGCTTATTAAAAAAAAAAAACTTCATAACGTTCATTTTTTGCTTTTGTACATTAATATTGGTTGATTGCCAGTTCACATTATCTTGGTATTTTTCGTAGAGTAGGAGGAAAAAAAAACAACGCCTTCACAGAAAATATTGACTATATAATAAAATGCCATTTGGTTATATACAACATAGATTCTAACAAAATAGAATTAAGTAATAAGTATGAAGTAAAATAAATTAATTTCACGTCACTCAAGACACACAGTGTTTAAATTGTCTGGCTGATTCACATGGTTCTGATTCTAAATTTTGAATGGAAGGAGCGGACCTGTAAAAGTACATATAAAATTAGTTAATTTTATTTCATAAATTGTTGTTCAATTTTCTGTGCAATGGTAACATAATTTAATTTTTAAAATTGTATCCAAGCAGTGTAAAATACCACTACATTAATGTGGGCAAACTATACAGGATGTCTCGTGAGGATATACCCATTAGCCGTAGAAGGGGACTCGCCGTCCAGACAATAGCTGGTTTTTTGCTGTTATATCTATTAACTAAAAAAATGATTAAAAATCAAGAAATGTTGAAAGGTCAATATTTTTTGAAAAATAAACTCTAAAAAAATGATATCTTCAATTGTTTTAAAAATAATTTTTTTAACTTTTTTTACCAAAAAATAAAATTAAATTAAAAAATAAAATAGTCTTTGTTTCTGTGAGTCTAATAAAAAAGCAGATTTATGATATATTTATTATCTTAGAAAATATAGCAATATCCTTGCGAGACACCCTGTATTATCTTGTTTTTTAAAAATGTGAATAATTTAAAGAGGTATCATAGATTATCAAACCAATAAAAATAAAACCGTTACCGATTATGAATCATGTGACTTTTCACTAAATGACCAGCAGTCAAGGCTGACATCAATGACAGTTCGCCGGCTAAAACTGTTGCACACAGTATACGTGCTAATCGTTTAGCGTTAGCCCCGGGGGTTTCAGAGTTCGCACCTCGTACACCAAGCATTTCCAAACATGCAGATTGACCAGGTAACGAGGTTCCTCCACCTACTGTACCAATCTCAACAGAAGGCATTGTACATGATACATACAGGTCTTCACCAAACGCTTCCATCAGTGTCATGCAGTTGCTACTTGCTACATTTTGCGCTGGATCCTAAAAAAATGTACAGAAAATAATTAAATAAACGACTAAAATATAATAATAATATCATATTGACAAAAATAGTTGCTTGTTTACTTGTCCTGTAGCAATATATACAGCTGTAACAACATTGGCAGCATGAGCATTATTTCCTCCGATACTTCCAGCAATTGCTGATCCCATCAAGTTTTTGCTTATGTTAACATCAACCAATGCTGCTACAGTAGTTTTCAGAACCTCCGTGACAACTTTTGAAGGTACAATTGCTTCACTAACAACATATTTTCCACGGCCTTCAATCCTAGAAGACAAAAATGTAAATAATATAATGGAAAAATGTATACAAAATTGTAAAAATATCATACCAATTGACTGCAGCTGGTTTTTTGTCTGAACAAAAATTGCCACTCAAGCTTAAAACTTCCATGTCAGGGAAGTATCCTCCGATGACTTTGAGCGATTTTTCTGTTCCCTATTAAAAAACATTAAAATAAGTATTATTTTAATTTAATTTAAGGGTATTGGAAATGGGTCGAGGTGTCATTATTTAACATAATATCAAAATATTATTTTATTTATTTACTTTGGATAACATATTCATGCCCATCGCATCACCCGTAGAAGCTGTAAACCGAATAAACAAATGTCGACCAGCTATGCGCACAAGTAATTTTGTAAGTCTTGCAAATCTACTCGTTGAATCAAATGCTGCCTTAATTATTTTAAACTTTTCTGGATTGTCCATCCACATTTTAGCTTCACTAATATGTTGTAAAAAAAAAAAATGATTATTTTATAATGTTCAATAGCTGAGTGGAAAACCATATACATACCTAGCAGTAGTAACTGAAGAAAATCGGACAACAGGTCCTCTAGTCATACCATCATCCACAACTCTAGTTATAACGCCACCGCATATTGTCAGTGCTCTACATCCTCTGTTTGTACTGGCCACTAAACAACCTTCAGTAGTTGCCATGGGTACTTGATAAAACACATCATCCACAAGTAATGGTCCAGCAACTCCAACAGGCACAGCTACATATCCTATAACATTCTCGCAATTGGTTCCTAGTACCTACAAGAAATTTCAATAATATAATACAATCATACAGATTATTATCTTCTAGTCCCCACTAAATTATTTATCAGTTGTTCCTTACTTTTGAATAATCATAACCGATGTAAGGTAGTT